TATTATATAATTGTATTATATAATTAATAGAAATGTTAAAAACAATTATTATATGAAAAAAAACTCAACCAAAACTAAATCTATCGTCCCCAAGATGAAAATGAATATAATTCATTGTGAAAAAATTAATTTTTTTATTGCTCTTCACAAATGAGTGCCTATCAAAAGATAAGATTTACAAATAGATGATCACTATTAATTACCTACAGATTTAAATCTCTATACCGCATTAAAGTTATAATTATAATAAAAATTATTTTTTTAATTTTTAAAATTTTAGAAACTACTTCAGTTCGCGCGCGGCTTATGATTGCGTTTCAAGGCTGAATATAATTTCAGCGCACAGTTTACAGAACGGGATATGTATTAATACAAATTTACACCGAAAATAGTATTTAAGCATTGAGAATCTAAATTAAATCATAATTAAGGATATAATTACCAGAGGCGGCGAAGTAAAATTTTTCAGTGTATGGAGTTCCCGAGGTTAGATTGGGAAAGAAGAGGAGGATGGGGGGATAAATATATTTCCTCATACATATCTTTTCTATATGGCAAAAGTATTCTAATTTTATTTTTTTTAAATAAAATTATTAGTGATTCTCCTCCACATTTAATTTATCGATCATTTCTCGATAAATGTATAATGTCGCAATATGATTTACGTTTTTCATTGTCGATCGAAGATAAGATTAAGATTAAGATTTTCAATGTCTTAAATAAAAATGATCTTTCATTCGAACAAAGTTGATATAGGAATTGTTAAAAGAACGCAAATAAATTTTACGTATTTTAGTACAAGATCTCTGATATCGAGACTGTCACGTAAAAATTGCATTACATCCTTCAAGCAATGCAGTGGCATTTTTTTTCATATGTTTGTAATTTCTAAATTATAATTTCTAATTTCTAAATTTCTCCCTGACCAAATATTATACAAAAATATGAAGTTCAGTGTATTCCATACATTGAATCATTCAGTGTATGGAGTACTCCATATCAACCATACTGGAATCGTCGCCCATGATAATTATTCAGTCGTATATTTATATTCGTGATGTCTAAGACACCTCGTTTATTTTATATATCCTTTGACAATACATTCTCTTACATAAACTATTATTGCGAACAAAATTTTTTTAAACAATAAAAACAACAGAAGCCTCTATAACGATTACAATCTTGATGCGGTATGGAGACTTGGATCTGTAGATAAATAGTGATTATTAGAAATATATCGGATGATAAAATTATTGAATATCAGATATCTAAAAAAAATCGCACCGGATATCCGGTAGAGCAATTATCCGACCTGACATTTTCCCGATAACCAATATAAATTCTAAAATTTAAAAAAAAAAGAGAAAAATAACAATAATAATTGATCAACTGTGGAACAGGACATTGTTTGCAATACAGTTTTAACATTACTTAATAATTAAAGTTTAATATTAATAAATTCTTTATGATGGACAATAACATTTCAGCATTTTCCGACGACAATCTATTTCGATTATCGCTATAAATCATAACTATGCAAAATTATGAACTATGTAAAAAGTTCAGTTGAAAATAAATAAAATTCTGCATCAATGATACAAACTTTCATATGAAATTTTAGCCAGATATATTGCCGAATACTAATGCTGTTCAACCGGATAATAAAAAAGTATAATACCGGATAATACCGGATATTTTCCAGATATCTGATGCATCTCTAATGATCATCTATATGTCTCTTTATATGTCTCAACTTTTGATCCATATATCAAGAGCAATTTTATTCTACGAGAGAAAAATATACATATATATAATTTTTTTCTATATATATACTACTCATTTTAATATATAATATAGTTCATATAATATATTTCTATATATATCTTAATTAAAATGAAATATAAGTCAGAATGAGCAATATATATTCCACAGCTAAAGTGTAAAATTTAATAAATGTACTATTATAATCTATGTATTTATGTAAGATTTTATCAACTGAATATAAAAATATCTACTACAGTAAATGTATTTATTTTCTAGACAATATATATAATGCATACTTGCTACAACATATTAGTAAAATAAAAGATCTCTAGTCAAAAGTAATAAAAAAATTTATTTTTGTTATTATAAGCTACATTCGTCTTCATCTTAGAGACGAGAGAGAGATCTAAAATGTTATTATGATAGCAGAGTAGTACGATGAACAAAAATATTTTATTAGTTTACTTATTAGTCATGAAAAGGGCTAGGTATCGTAGTGTCAAAATAAATAATTGGCGCTTTATTGGATCGAGTTTTTCTTACATAATTATTATTTTTGACATTTTTAATGTTTGTACAACATGAACAGAATTGTTTAATGGAAATTAGTAAGGGAATCAAAAACGACCTTATTCCTTCTTTAAAAAATTATTTATATTGTTATATGAAATGATACAAAAATTCTCGGATGAACCATAAGAGATTTGATAAGCAGTGTCAGTATCATTATCTTCGAGTGGCAATATAACATAAATTTTTAATATGATAAGAGAATATCACAATATAATATAAATTTCTGATAATATGATGGTATATCATAATATGATACGATAATGCCATTTTTATATTATCTGCTCTGTTTTATTTATATGCTCTGTATAAAATATAAATATAAAACTTTTAGTATTTCAGTGACGGAGAGATATAACAACTTAATACTTACGGAAATACAATATAAATCAAACTGAAATCTCTTGATTTTATGAAGTTTTATTATTATACCTTTTGTCATATCTTTTTATTTTGTTTATAAATAAAATGTATTTAGTAACTCTGAATATGTTTTGATATAAACTTTCATTAGAATTTGAAAATGTTTTATCTTTTATATTCATCATATATTGATTTTGGTCTTTTTATGTTTCAACATTTTCATATTCAACGATAGCAAACTACCATTATATAATATAATATAATATATTGTTTTATTAGAATTTGAAAGTATTTGATTCTTTATATTGATCACGTCTCTATAAATTTTTGATCTTATTTTCGTATTCAGCGATCCCAAAAAAAGATATTACATTAAATATGTTTTTCTTCTTACTGTTAGAAAAAGTCAGATGTGAAAGAACTAATTATATAGATTTATCGTGGAAAGTTTTATGCGAAAATTCATAATTTCTTCATAGCGCACTCATTTTTTCCTTCAAACACAACAACTATTTTGTGTTATCTTTAGTTATAAGTAAATAAAGTATCTCTGGTCTACCTAAGTTTTGCGATTTTTTTAAATTTTTTGTTGAATCCAAAGTTGAAAACTGATGACCTAATTTAAAATATTTCTGAAAATAAAAAGGAAAATATTTTTTAATACTTACATGAATGCAGTAAAGATTTTAAGAAAAAATAGCCTAAGTCCATGTTTCCATCTTTTTTGTAAAAAAATTTTAGAAAAAATTAGATGAGCCAATGTTATACATTTATAAGATTATAAGTTTCTCAACATTATATTG